ATACACAAACCCTTGGTTCAACGCGTAAACCCTAAACCCTAAACCCTAAACCCTAGAAACCCTAAACCCTCGCCCTAAACCCTAAACCCTAGAAAGTCTAAACCCTCGCCGCAGAAAAACTAAAAATTTCGATGAAAAAATCAAAAGAAAATTCACAAATACACAAACCCTTGGTTCAACGCGTAAACCCTAAACCCTAAACCCTAGAAAGTCTAAACCCTAGAAACCCTAAACCCTAGAAACCCTAAACCCTAGAAACTCTAAACCCTCGCCGCAGAAAAACTAAAAATTTCGATGAAAAAATCAAAAGAAAATTCACAAATACACAAACCCTTGGTTCAACGCGTAAACCCTAAACCCTAAACCCTAAAAACCCTAAACCCTCAATATATAGTCAAACCCGAAACCCTTAACCATAAAGCCTAAAAATATATAGCCAAACCCTAAACCCTAAAAACCCTAAACCCCAAACCCTAAACATATATTAGTCAAACCCTAAAAACGAACTAAACGCTAAACCCTAAACCCTAAAAATATAGAGTCATACGCTAAACCCTAAACCCTCGATATATAGTCAAACCCTAAGCAAACTAAAAGCTAAACCCTAAACCCTCAGTATATTCCAAAACCCTAAACTCGAACTGTACTCTACACCCTAATCCCTAAACCCTCACTAAACCCTAAACCCTCACGAAACCCTAAACCCTCACTAAACCCTAGATCATAAACCATAAACACTACCGAAGGCAAATACCCTAAACCCTGCGCCCTAAACCCTCACCCTAAACCCTAAACCCTCGTCAAACTCTAAACCCTAGACTCGCACCTAAAACTAAACCCTAACGAAATCCTGAATGCTAAACCCTCATTAAACCCTAAACCCTCACTAAACCCTAAACCCTAAACCGCCTTAAAACCCTAAACCCTAAACCCTAGATGAATCAATCCTCGTCGATAGTTAAACCCTAAAACCCATCCTCTTGCAGCAAGTAAAGATAGCTCACGAGGGGTTGCCTGTAGAGCTTGATTAGGGTTTAGGGTTTAGGGTTTAGGGTTTAGGGTTTAGGGTTTGGGTGTCTGTGCAGCTGAAGGCAGAGCTGGAATGCTTGGACGCCGCATTGAAGGAAGTCCTCGAGAGAGAAGAGTGAGCTAGGGTTTAGGGTTTAGGGTTTAGGGTTTACGAAGCCGCCTCGGAATGCTTGTCTATCGAAATGAGGGTTTAGGGTTTAGGGTTTAGGGTTTAGGGTTTAGGGTTTATGTGGTGGTTGCTGCAGGGCTTTGAAGCGAGATATGCCGTTCGCTGCTTGCAGCTCATAAAACCCTAAACCCTAAAGTATATGTTTTAGGGTTTAGGGTTTAGGGTTTAGGGTTTAGGGTTTAGATGCGGCCGAGCTTCTCGTCAACGATGCAAGCAGCAACGCTGCACATGCGCATATCACGCAGCTGCTGCTGCAGCAGCGGCTGCTGCTGCTGCTGCTGCTGCTGCTGCTGCAGCAGCATAAAACCCTCAGGCGGGGGTTTGAATGCTGCGGTGTAAGTGGAGGTTATTGTTTCTTGGGTCCTGCAGCAAACCCTAAACCCTAAACCCTAAACCCTAAACCCTTGATTGCGGGTTCAGCATCCTAAACATATATATGTTTTAGGGTTTAGAGAGGGTTTAGGGTTTAGGGTTTAGGGTTTAGGGTTTGTTTTACCTATCGTTAAAACTCAAATGATCTTGCACATGTCTTGGCGGTTGCTGATGCTGTTGCTGCTGCTGCTGCTGTTGCTGCTGCTGCTGCTGCTGCTGCTGCTGCTGCTGCTGCTGCTGCCTCTGGATGGTTCGTTTGGGGACGAAGCCGTTCATTTGTCTCC